TTTGGTGTGTACCGAGGTACATTAGGACCTTTCCACATAAGGAGACACTACTTTATTTCTGCCTTTAAACTTATCTCTCCCTATCAGTCAACTTTCAATCACTCAATCTTTATCCCCCAAGTTAAGCACTCAAAATTTAAGTCTTCTTAAATCGAGACCTGTACGTTAGTCTTGAGAACACTTGCAAAGACTCCTAAGAGGTTTTAATTCTAGAAGCTCAGAAAATAAAGCACATGAATGAAGAAGATGTGATGTTTTACCTAATGCCTCAAGATGCAATATGAAACAATGGTTTTTGCATACTATGTGGTTCGCTTAATGTAATATAAAACAAAGATTTTCACACACACTTGATAGGTGAGGTAATTATCCCTTAAAAATAAAGGCTTTTGTTACCTGATAGATGATTAATCTTTCTTTATTTGGTTAATGCAAAACATAATGAATGGCAAATTATCTTATTTGTACAATTGGTTTACACGTTTGATTTTGGCTTTTTTTTACTAATTGGACAAACATACTTCCACTTAAAGGAATAATGGATAATTTCAAATTGAATGCAACACAACGATTGTTGCTAATTATGCAATCATGAATATTCAAAGCAATTAAAGATAGTAAGCTCAAGTAGATGTCTAAGCTCTAATACCAACTGAGCGGAACACAAGACCAGCATAATGGTTAAAAACCCCCCCCCATATGTATTAGCATGCAAAAATCTTAAATCTCTAATTAAATCCTCCCTACTTGAAACATATTTTGCTTTGAATCCAAAGTAAGATAACTGAGAAATAAAATAGGAATGGGAAAAAATACTATGACTTACCTGATAAATCGATTCAAATTCATTAGCTCAATAAGACGGTTGAAGCAACTTCACTTGAAGAACTCTCACTCTCACAATTTCGAAAAGCTAAATGTAAAGAATAAATTGAAAATTCTATTAATCTTAATGAACTTGTATCTTTATAGCCTAAGGCGAGGTCTTAAGAGAGGCTTTCATCATATTAATTCTATATAAACTTAAAGACTTAAATTTAATTGAAACTCTATCTAAATTCTAGTCTATCATAATCTTAATATTAAAATAATAATTAAAAATAGTTAAGATAATGACCAAAAAAATAAAAAAATAATAATTAAAAATACATCGAATATTAAATGGATAGTTCTCTCCTCCCATGGTTGATCTTTGCATCCTAATTGATTTGAAGTGCTTCATTTTGTTTCAACTTGGTCTTTCTTTAATTTAATTAATTAATTTGTAGAGGCAGAGTTGAAGTTTGTGCCTTGCGCATGTGGGAGTCTAGCTTGGCCAAACTCCTTTGGTTCTTAGACCTCCATTCTCACTTGAAAACTTTGTTTATCTTGAATCTTCGTCTTAATCCATGTAGGATTCTTTAAAAGTGAAATTAACAAAAAAT